TTTCTCATCAGATGGTTTTAGGCCTGAAGAGTGGGTGCATTCCACAATACAGCAGGGTCTATCCCTGGATTCTTAAGCATCTGTGCCCTCCTCTCAACCCTCAGGCATAGTCACTCTCTTCTGCACTTGTCGTGCCTCCCTAGGGTCAGTCATAGTCAAAGTCTCAATATCATGTACCCTCAAAGGTGAAAAGAGTAAGGTTGACCTATGTCATTATTCTATTACTTTTTCAGAATGTCCAATATCTCTGCCATTCCAAACACCTGGGAGCATTAAAAATTTCCAGTGTCCATGCTGCCAGATCCAAGAGGCAGCTATCAGAAAATCTTGGGAGTGAGACCCAGGCTCTCAGGAGAATCCAATGTGCAATCAAATCTGTGAGCCAGGGCAAAGCCTATTTAAGAAGGGAGGAAAGTATATGATGTGTTTGGAAATACTTGTGTGCAGCGCACAACGCCTGTCTGCGCTCTGTGTGCTACCATAGAGCTTTGAGCAAGGGGCTAGAGGTTGAAACATACAGAGACACACAGACAGGGAGACAGAGACATGGACCTCTAGTCCCTGGTAAGAAGCCCTTTATTCAATAGCGCCATGGAGGCTTATATACCCAACGGTCAAGTGAGCCAACAGGTGAAAACCTTAGCCTCTGATCCTTAAGGCCAAGGCAACACGTGCTCGTGAAGCAGAGCTGGTAAACAACTTTGACACAGCCTTTAGTAACTCAATTCTGAAGGAAAGTAAAGACCTCTAGCAAAGAAGAGCAGATGGAGGCCAGGACTCCAAATGGTCCCAACACTTATGCTCAGAACAACTTGTAAAAATTTAAATACATTACTGAGCATTTCTTGTTATAGGGGAAGTCACATCTGTGGAACAGTTTTGTTTATGGAAATCAGACAGGAGAAGCAATGCTGTCATAAAATACAGATGCTCCTCTAACTGTAAGGGCAGTAGGACCTGAGAATGGAGCCTAAAGATGAGGTGGACTAAACTCTAATACAATAGCCAACTTCATTCGAAACATCAGACAATTCATACGTTAAGGGTTAAGAAAGGTCACATGAGTAAATCTCTCAGGAGTTCAAGCTGTGTATTATAAACATGAGGACAAGTTGCATGAGGCAAAAACATGTTTTTCTATAAAGGCCCATAAACAAATAACAATAGCCAGTGGGAATGAATAATCTGATAAGCATGCACCTATCCAATACACCTGGGAGGTGCACGGAAGCATAATCTAAGAACAACTCCAGGGGTTGAAGAAACTGAGGTCACAAGACTCTTCTTTTCTTGGAGTTTCCTCACAAGCACTCAGAATTCTTTAAAAAAAAAAAAAGAATATTTCTTCTTTTTTATTTATTTTTATTTTATGTGTTTGCCATGGGTGTCAGATCCCCCGGAACTGGAAGTACGGACAGCTGTGAGCTGCCATGTGGGTGCTGACAATTGAACCCAGGTCCTCTGGAAGAGCAATCAGTGCTTTTAACCACCAAACCATCTCTCCAGCCCCAGCACTCAAAATTCTTACACGACTCCATCTTGGACTGTGTTCTGACACTCCTCCCCACCCACATTGTGATTACATCCTGCTGACCTCACTGTAAACTGAAGAGCACCCTACATTGAAAATGCATTTGTTACACCTACCCTCCTGACCATCACAGTGAGAGCAACAGTTCACTGTCATGTCCCAGAGGCCATGTGAGTATCCTGCTTCAGACTGCTTGCCCACAAAATGTTGGAACCCAAACTAAAACAAAATTCATTTTGCTTTCACACCACTGTAGAGTCAGAAGATCCTAAGCTGAACAGGTGAGCCAGGGAACTCTCTACAGTATATATACAGTTTCCCCATGGTGACATAACTTTACTTTGCTTTCTGTAGATATCCTGTAGGTGATGTGGGAGTCCCCTCTGTGTGCTGTGATTACCATTAATGAATAAAGAAACTGTCTTGGCCTGTTAATAGGGCAGAACTTAGGTAGGCAGAGAAAACTGGACTGAATGCTGAGAGGAAGAAGGCAGAGTCGGAGAGTGTCATGGAGCCGCCGCCGCTGGAGACAGACAAGCTGAAACTTTGCTAGTAGGCTACGACCTTGTGGTGATACACAAATTAATAGAAATGGGTTAAATTGATATGTAAGAGTTAGCCAATAAGAATGCAAGCTGGCACAGCCCCTTTGGGTGTCAGTGTGGCGATTTCTCAGAAAATTAGGAAACAACCTTCCTCAAGACCCAGCAATACCACTTTGGGTATATATCCAAAGGATGCTCAATCATGTCTCAAGGACATGTGCTCAACTATGTTCACAGCAGCATTGTTTGTCATAGCCAGAACCTGGAAACAACCTAAATGACCTTCCACTGAAGAATCGATAAGGAAAATGTGGTACATTTACACAATGGAGTACTACACAACAGAAAAAAATATGACAAAGAATTTTGCAGGAAAATGGATGGAGCTAGAAAACATCATTTTGAGTGAGGTAACCCAGACACAGAAAGACAATTATCACATGTACTCACTCATAGTGGTTTTTAAACATAAAGCAAAGAAAATCAGCCTAGAAATCACAACCCCAAAGAACTTAGACAACAATGAGGACACTAAGAGAAACTTACATAGATCTAATGTACATGGGAAGTAGAAAAAGACAAGATCTCCTGAGTAAATTGGAAACATGGGGACCTTCGGGGAGAGTTGAAGTGGGGGAGAGGCATGGAGGGGAGCAGAGAAAACTGTAGAGCTCAATGAAAATCAATTTAAAAAAGCAGACTGAGCAAGCTAGTAAGCAGCACCCCTCCATGGCCTCTGCATCTGCTCCTGCCTCCAGGTTCCTGTCCACTTTGGATTCTTGCCTTGGTTTCCCTCAACGTACTATGCAGGATAGGTAAGCCCAATAAATCCTTTCTTTCCTCCTCCCACAACACCCCCAAAAAGAGAGTTAGGAAATAAGAAGTTAGAGCTAATGGGCCAAGCAGTGACTTAATTAATACAGTTTCTGTGTGGTTATTTTGTGTCTGGGTGGCCGGGACGAACAAGGGGCCCCCTGCAACACGCAGAGCAAGATGTTTCTCAATAATTCTCTTGGGCTGGTACTAAGTCATATCTCAGACGAATCTTTTCAGTTTCTAGGCACAACAGTGGTGATTATGGAATCTGTCCTCTTTCTCACCAATTGGCTGCTGGATCTTTGTACACTTGACATTAACCATGACACTTTCTGTTTATTCCAGAAAACTTTGACTCAGATCTGGGACATAAGATGAAGAAACATTGGTTTTTACCAGTTGTCACTGTAGATAAAACTCCAAGCAAGTGTCTATGGTTGGGCTTTTTCTCATTTTCTGACTGCAATTACAGGCTTCTGTCTATACAAGACTCCTTCTTGTTATGTGACCAGACTAATTTAGAAAACAAAAAGATAGTACCAAACAGACTTCACACCAGAAACAGTAAAAATTGTGCCTGAATTCCCACTATTGGGGAGGCTTAGACAAATAGATGATCGATAGCTCTATGAATCCCAGGGCTAGGCTACATAATGGAAATCTGTTTCAAAAAACAAACAACAATATCCTGTAAAACAAAGAGAAAAGAAGATCATTGTATAACGATAAAAGATCAATTATTATTTTTTAAAAGTTATTCATACAACAGCTGTAGAATATATATTCTCATCAGCACATCGAACTTTCCCCCAAATAGACCATATCTTAGGGCACAAAACAAATATCAAATAATATAATAATTGTCATTAGAAGTCAACGTGAGCCAGGTGAGTGAGGTGCACCTTTAACCCACCTATTTGAAAGACTGAAGCAGAAAGACTGAAAACCCAACCTAAACAAGCAACTTAGTTAAACCCCATCTCAAAAGTTGGGGATGGAGCAATGGCTCAGCAGTTAAAAAGCTCTGGCTATTCTTGCAGAGAGCCTGGGTCCAGTTTCCGGCACTCAAATCGTGATTCACAGCCATCAATAAAAGCAAATCTTTTTTTTTTTTTTTTTTTTTTTTTTTTTAAGAACTGCAACACCACCAACAACAAAACCCTCAAGACCTTGTAAACAGAGCTAAGGAGTTTGGACTTTCTCATATGGGAAACTAGAAACTTCAATGATTAATTAAGAGTGGACTCACCCGGATGAGCAAATGATTGAAAATTGTATAACCTTCTTAGTTGGTAGGGAAGACTATAGAACCCCGGCTAAAGCTGTCCTCCCTTTCTCTTTTTCCTCCAGAATTCCGGCGACACGGTTTGATAGTCTTTTGTATCCTCTTTCTGCTAGGCACAGTGAGGTTCCCTTAGCAGTCATCCATTAGTCAAAACGGCTTCCTGGGGACACTCAGGTGGGGTTAAATGGGACTGAGTCACCCGCGCTGGGAATCTGGGCTTCATCCCTTTTGGTGAGGTGATTGCTACATACAGTTATTACTGAGGTCTGAGGGATGCGTGGATTACAAACCAGACATAGTACTCAAAACTCACCGTTTCTGATTACTCGCTTTCCTTTACTGTTGGTCATACTCTTGAGGCTGCCTGTGTCGTTGTATATGAAGGTGGGAACCCAACGTAATGGGGTCCTGTATCACTTAACGAATTGTATTGGATGCTCGGATGCCCCATAGTGGGAGTGCTTATTCTATAGAAATTGACAGACACACAGATCATTGCAGTTTGTAGCTAAACACTCTCCTGTTCACCATCAGCCTCCAGCAGATGCAATCCTATCTTTGTGAAATTCTGTGCAGACGCCCTTAAGAGCAGTCTGAGGAGCCCAGAAATCCTGGAGTTTGAGAGACGTGAAACAGAAAAGAATGTGACCAAAGGTCAGTGGGAGGGTGTGAACTGGCCACCTCTGAGGTTGAGGCAGAGAAGGGGACACCAGCCAAGCAGAGAAGATCCACGCCAGGGCCAAATAGTAAGTGGATTCCAGAGTCCTGGAGACAGAACAGCAGAAAACACAGGAGCCTGGAATCCAGAGAGGAGCCCAGCAGTTGCCCGTTCTACGCTGAGAGTTGCCTCAGAAGATGAAATCACCTTCAGCACATGTGGATGAGGAGCTGCAGCCCTGGGGAGGCCCTGAATGCCCTGGTCAGCTCCCAGGAAAACTGGGGTCATCAGAGTATGCCCAGTCTGGGGTTGTGGAGAAGGGGCGGCCAAAGTGGGGCAACCCCCTGCAGTTCTTACTTGTCTGTGTCTCCTATGCTGTGGGCCTGGGCAATGTATGGCGCTTCCCCTACCTGTGCCAGATGTACGGTGGAGGTAAGTGCCATGTGCAGGGAGGGGCAGCATGTCTGAGTGACAAGGGCTTCACATCTAAAGCTCTTACCTCCCTGGAATCCGGATGAATTATAGGCTTAATGTCAAAGAGCTGGCTCACGATCCAGCAAAGAAGGAAGGTTTGGGCTTCGCTTCCACACACAGGGCGCTTGCTGTGCTATCTAAAACATCTTTGCCTAACCTGAAGTCATAAAGGTTTTCTCTGTTCTTTATCTAAGTTTCTAACCTCTGGATTGTGTATCTGGAGCGATGGTCTACTTCCCTTTCTCCTTTTTTGTGTATAAAATGTGATACCAACTAAGGTTCATTGTATTCGGTTGTGTTATTGTTTTCTTGACAAAAAAAAAAGCTTGCAGAACTCTTTTGCTTAAATTACATTGTGGAGGTTTGAGGAAGCGATGGAAATGATTACTAGGTCCAGCTAAAAGGTGCCCACACTCCCTCCTTGGTTTGAGTTTGTTTCTGGCCCTAGGCAGCAGACAAACAAACAACAGGTTGTCACAGAGACAAATTGATGATGGGCCACACCAGATCTGCTGTAGTTACTGCTTGCTACTTTGGGTTAAAATGAGACTATCCTACGGCCTTTCAGTGTTAGAGCGCAACTCCAAACAGCTGCGGGAATCTGGCTTCCGCTGTCAGGTGCCTCAAAGAATAAACTACACAGGTCTCAGCCTCCTTCAACATCGAGCTGCTAAGGAGTGAAAACCCAGCCTTTACAGAGCAGGGAGGAGACTTAGCCTTGAAAAGCCTCCGGAGCAAGAAGACAGTGTTCAAACCCTACTTGCACACAAGGACAAGCTGAGCTCAGACCATTGTATGAGGTATGTGTTGCCCCCTCCAAGGCCTTCACTGTTTTCACGTGGTCACAAGGTTCTTCATGAGACCTCAGTTCCAGCTGCTCCACTTCTGGGATCTACGAGCCACCTGAATCCCCAGTCTTGGTTTAGGAAAGGACGATGGATACAACCCAAGGGTCCACAATTGAGTAGATTGGGCAATGCATTAAGAGCAGAATGCTTTATGACAGTTTAAGACCGGGCTAGGGTTCCTTTGCAAAGCAGGTTTTGAGCTGGCTGTTTCCTGTTCTTGGAAGACGTTGAGAGGAGAAAGGGCAGGAGGAAAGCACGGTGTGGGGAGGAAACATCTAAACAGTACCAATAGGGGGAAAGGGAGGATCCCAGGTACCCTATCAGATACCAAGTAGGCGACGATTGACAGCCTTGGGACCACGCCCATCCCAAAGGGGTGAAACTGTTGCCGCCCCCCCCCCCCCCCCCCCCCCCCGCACCTGTTTTCTGTCCCTGGGAACTGAGCTTCATGATACCCTAGATGACTACCAGCACCCCTATTACATTTCTTGGCGTCTCTCACCCATGATGTGAGAAGACCCCTCCGTAGGGTCACATAGCTGACTCAAAACTGCGGAGGACTTGAAAGTGTCCATGACTGTTCCGGCACTCAAGGGAAGGAACCTTTCAACCAGGACTAGCACGGTGAGCAAGCCAAACAGCTCAGGAAGGGAGGAAGACAGGGCAAGGCGATGATCTCATTCGGCTCTCGATATGATAATTAGGGTAGAGCCACAACTAAGCCAAGAGACATTGGACTCCGAGGAACCAAAAGTCTTCCAGAGTACGGAGGGTGGGAGGGAGGAGATTTCCCCACGCCTCTTCTTGATGGTTTCCTTAGCCCGTCCAGGGCTCGTGAGCTATGGAATAGCTAAGTGTAGGCACCTGGAAGTAGACTGTCTTGGGTAGGGAAGATTTGCTCAGCTTTTTCTCTTTCTTGAGCAGTTCTAGCACACAGGCAAAACCTGAACTAGACCTGACGTTTTCCAAGCAAGGTGATACCAAGCTTGCTTTTTGAGTTTGAGGTGGGCAGTATCTGAAATTCAAATGGAGCTGGTGAGTGGGCTAGGAGGGCAAGTTCTGTCGCTGTGTAGGAAATCTTTCCCGGGTGCCGGTGCCCCAAGGTGCTTTAGCTGCTTTCCCAGAGCTCACATCGCTACTGCTGGGGTGGTGGAACAAATGGCCCCCTCCACACATGCGCCCCTTCCTTAGCCCAGGCTCCCGCATGTCGCTGGTGTATGAGTACAAAAGACACTGGGCTGTGGACATCGCCAAGCTCTTGGGTGGCGAAGAAAGTGGCAAGAGCACTTAGCTGGGGGCTGTGGGTAGAGCTACTGAAATCTTGCTTAGACGTTCATGGGGTCCAAACTTCTCTTCCCAGGGCAATAATTGTCAATTCTTGGAGCTAAAGGAGAGGTTTTTGTTTTGCTTTGTTTTGTTTTTATCATGAGCCTCTAGCACTAAGATTACCAGACCTGGGAAGTTCATGTGAATTTTCAGCAGCCCCAGGACCAGGTGCTAGCTAAACAAGCTGCTACCATTGACAGTGTGGGCAAAGAAGGATCAGCCTGCTTGGGTTCGGGGGCTGTAGCTGAAGCCTTCACCGGGAATTAATGCTGCTCTTCCTGGCATTTCCAATCCTAGTTCTCCCCAGTTCGATGTAGAATATCTTTTCCCTCCTTGTTGCCTGCTCCACTGTGCTATGGGCACACCCACTTTTTTTTTTTTCACTCTCCAGCTGTGTGACAAATGGGAAAATATCCCATAGTCTCTTATTATGGGTACATATGGAAAATTATTTGTTCTGAGTGCTTAGGAGGTTTGTTTACAGATTATTAATTTCAAGTGGGGAAAATAGGCCCAAGGAAATGTTTACTTTAGGTCGTTTTGAATGTTGGATCTTTTAAGACTGGGAATTCATTAAGGTCCCAAGATATTAAAGAGTTATTTTAAGAACAAATAATATGCCATACCTTTAGTCCTAGCACTTAGGGTGATCCCAGCTTAACTATTTCTCCACCCTGTTCTCAGTCAGGCCTGGTTGCTATGGTCAGGGGATCTTCAGAGGTCAGAAGATATTGTTACCCAGTGTCCAGGAGTACCCTGCAGATGTCCACTTGTTATGCTTGCCAGCCAAGGCTGATAATGGGCTGGAAATTCTAATTTCTGAGATTTATGTAGATGAATGTTAGAGCATTTCTGAATTGGTGGATTGATGTGTCCCCAAAAGGAGATAGATCCTAAGCACTGGGCTTCCTAGAAGCTCTCCATGATGACTCTTGGCTCCCAGGCTCTTCCTAATAGAGTCTTGGCCATTTATACCTGCATAACATGTGTGACAGTTGACTAGTGGGATGGAATCTATCTGTCTCCTTTTGCATCTCTGGCTCTGTGAATTTATGTGAATCACTGATCACAGGCAATAATTGTGGATTTTGTGATGATATAAGGCTGGAGCAGAGAAGCCCCTGTCACACAGCATGTGCTAAATGGACTCAGACAACGTGGCTTCCAGCACCTCTTCCAGAGCTTGTGTGGTTTACAGAGATAGATGGTTTACATGGCAATCAGTAGAGAGGGTTGTTTGTTTTGGTTTGGTTTTGTGTTTTGGGACAGGGTTTCTCTGTATAGCCCTGGCTGTCCTGGAACTTGCTTTGTAGACCAGGCTGGCCTTGAACTCTCAGAGATCCAACTGCCTCTGCCTCCCAAGTGCTGGGATTAAGGTGTACACACCACTGCCTGACCAAATCAAGTGTTTGATGAATGATGGGATTCAATGCCTTGGGTATAAATGGAGCTCTAGGGCACTTGGACCTGACTCCCTGTATCCAGGGACAAGACAGCAATATTGCACTAAGAAAACTAAGGAGGGAAACTGGGAGATGGCAGAGAACTGAACCATGGTTAGGTTATTCAGCCTCTTCCTGGGACTGCACTGGCTGCTGATTGTTGACAAGCTGGAGATGACCACTGCTAGGGAATATTATTTTCAGGTGTGTGACTTTTGTTTACGCTGAATTTGTTTAACTCTGTGAAGCTGTGTCACTGTGCCTGTCTAAAACACCTGATTGTCTTAATAAAGAGATGAACGGCCAATAGCAAGGCAGGAGCAAAGATGGGTGGGGCTAGCAAGCAGAGATTATAAACAGAAGGAGAGCCAAAGAGGAGGAGCAAAAGAAGGAGAGGAGGAAACTAGGGGTCAGCCATTCAGCCAGCCATGGAGTAAGAAGGACATTAAGACATACAGAAGTAAGAAAGATAAAATCGCGGAAGTAAGAAGGAAGTGGGGATAATTTAAGACAAGAAAAGCTCGCTAGAAACTATCCAACCTATGGCAAGGCATTCATAACTAATAATAAGCCTCCGTGTGTGATTTATTTGGAAGCTGGGTGGTAGACCCCTCAAAAAGCAAAAAGAGAAAAATATCTCACAACAGTCCATCAAGATGGGCTAGGGAATGTGGGTAGAAAAGGGGCAATACTGACCCAAGACATCTTTTTTTCTTTCATCTCACTGTAAATGAGACAAGCTATTTCCAAAATTCTTCCAAAGTCACTACTCAGCTGCCTTCTCAGTGAGCTGAATTAGACATTAAAACAAACATTGCTTTTGTTGGTTTTGGTCAGGAGCTGTGTCCCAAGTATTAACTAAGACAGGGTGTTTCCCTTGCAGGAGGCTGTGGGAGAACTCTGCCGACCACCTACGTTTGCAGAACCTTCTCTTCGGCAGAAGCTATTTGTTGAGTTTTCAGGTTGTCTGCCTCCATTTTCAGGCTCATGCAAACTGATTGTGGATAGAGTCTTCCAAGCTGTTGGTCACCCCAAGTCTAGACAGGGAAGGCCTTCAGTTATTAGAGAGGCAGATAACTTCCTGTTTTATGGGGGCTCACTGCCACTCACCCATGGCTTTACAAAATTTATTAACTCTAAAAGGATAACTTTTTTCAATCTCTTGTCCCCAGTGCGTGACCCAGTGAGTGAGACTCACCTGGGTAATTCTCTGCTGGTTATAAGAAAAACAGGTGCTTTGGTCACCGAATTCAACAGCTACTCTCCTGTCCTGTGTAAGCCACTGGGTCCAGTTTTGCAGAGGAGCAAATGCCTTTTGTATAAACTGTCATGTGCTGTTTTGAGCACCCTGAGAAACTGGCTCTAGAGGTGGAATTTGGCCCTTCTACTTCAGACCCAACCATGTTTGCCTTAAAATATCCTCCAAAGCTCCTTTTCCTTGTTAGGATAGCAATCTCACACTGTGACACGGGGAAAGAACAAGAGATTAAAGGCATTATTTCATGGTATATGAGCTGCCTATGCTCATTCAAAATCAAAAGTGTTGTAAAGGCAGATCACCATGTACTGTATGAAGACTGTCTTGTGGGGTTTTGGGGGGGGTTTGAATGTTTTTGTAAGCTTTGCTTGGGAATTTACCAACCCCCATTATTTAAAAGTATATATACAAGTTATATATGTAGTTTGGGTTCAACTTTCTTTTTTAAGGTGATGTTTATAGCACTGTCTTCCGAGCCAAAACCCTGCTACCTTCATGACATCAGCTGTGTCTACTTGCAAAAGATTGTCACACCTAGATTTGGTGGCTATTGACCTGTTGGTATCTCTGTCTCATAAGATGGCTGGATATTTTTCTAGAATGGAAAAGAAAGCAAGAAGGCTTAATCATGTTACAAGTGTCTGACAAATTATGTAAGGTATATAAGAGGCCACAGTTCAATACACCAATGTTGAACCGAGGCTTAAAGAAATAGTTATACTGGTCTACGCTCCATGGCAATTACAAGGCCTGGCTTAAGAAAAAGGTATGTCTAGTCAGAACTTTTGTTCTTTGTCTGTTATTCTGTGGTGCATTTGAAGAGATACTCAGGGACCTGAGTCCCAACTCAGCCTCTTTTCTATAAGGGTCTATTAGAGTTCTCTAAAAAGACATGAATAATAGTGTGAATTATTATACTAGTTTATGGGCTGTCATCAGATAGTCCAGCAATAGCTATCCGGGAAAAATAAAAGCCAAAAATTCTGTAGTTGTTCATCCACAAGTCTGGATGTTTTGGTCTGTTAGAACCTGAAGAAGTAGGTTCTAACGCCATCAGAAGAAAGCCTCCTCATCAGAACATGGCATCAAGCTTCCTCCTTCCATATCCTTTTAGGTAAACTTCCAAAACCAGGAGGTATGACCTTGACTTAGGGTGAATTTTCCCACCTCAAATGATCCAACCAAGAGAATTCCCCACAGCTGTGCCCAGTTCTTTGTGCTTTAGTTGATCTCACGTGTAATCAATGTCAGCAATCAAGTTTAGCCATCACAAAGGGAATATAAAGTCCCGTGAAAGATGGAACTGGAGCTCTGAATGGACCCAGTGGATGACCGCAGGCTATTTTTGAAGGTGTGGGGCTGTAACCCACAGGGCAGGCCCCAAGAGAGTCCACCTTGTAAGAGTCCACCTCTCTCAGACTAGCCCAGCCCAGACCCTGCCCCTCTCAACAAGAAGCAGTTAGAGTTGTCGTAGCCCCTTGCCCTGACAGCTGTTGGTGTGGACCTCTGAGTGGGACTGGGGGAGCACTGAAGAAGAGTTAGAGCAGCATAGGTACACAAATGATTTCCTAAGATGGCAGCTTCTTGTTCCCAGAACACATTGTAGGAAGGAATGGCAGGAAGGTATGAGGGCGGGTATCAAAACAGGACCAGGGGAGAAAGCAGAAGGACCCAGGAACCCTGTAAACCACACAAGTCAAGAGGACCGCTGGTCTTAGGGCCCCACCCAACCTAAAGTATTAAAACTATCCTCTTTCTTTGCAGTTGGGTCTTCTTCGTGGAAGTTCAGTTCTTGGTTGGTAGTCCCATAGATGACCACAACACCCCTGTTACACAGGCAACCCCTATGTGCCAGGGGGCTTTTTATGACTATTAGGGTTTGTGTGTGCCTGTGCTTCTGCTTTTCCCTCTAGAAACCACCCTCAATCCCTGCTACTGGTGTGCCAGGCTTTTGCTTTTGCATTTCTCCCATTGGAGTTTCTCAGGTCCCAGCCAAGGAACCATGAGCTGGGATGGATGAGAGAAGATGCCAAAGCGGTCTTGGGTCATGCCTCCATGCCCCAGACTTGGGCAATCTTGTGTCCCTGCCTGCCTCTATGTTTATCTGGCAGTGAAAGGCTGTTTAAAGCTCCATTCACAGACCACTCATTAAAAATTTGTGGATTTGAAAGTTTTTTCTTAAGTCACCATTAGCAAAATGAAATTTTAGACTAAAGGTACATGCTTAAAATAGATGTACAGATATCTCTTTAAAAGGTGGATGTGGTATGAAGTTCTGTGTACTGGGTCATCCAACTAACTTACCTGCCCCTGTGTTTTTTAGGCCACTAAGCCCTCTGAAAATATCAAGTCTGAAGGAACATTCTATAGCCCAGGCAACTCTAAAGCATCCAAAATCCTCTACCTAGGTGAACCCTTCAGGGAAGGAAGCAGGTTTGCTGCATCTTCCACCCCACCCAGACCCTGTATAACTAGACCTTAGAAAAGGTATGGTCACATAGACTCAATCAGATCTGTAGGAAGACAAGCACCCAGGAGCAAAGTTATAAGTATTTGGCAACTTAGTGGTCTAGCCTTTCAATGGCCCTTAAATGCTGAAAGAGAAGATGGGAGTTAGTGAGATGACCCAGTGCATAAAGGTACTTACGTACCACACAAGCCTGGTGACCTATGTTCAATCCCCAGAAGCCACATAAAGGGGGAAGGAGAAAACCAACTTCTAAAGTTGTCCTCTGACTTCCTAATCTCCCCCAGCACACTTTTCAGAAAGGAGGGTAAAAGCTTTGCTGGCAGAAGCTGGTCCAGCAGAGCCATGGAGAATGACACTCACGGAGCTGGGGCCAGTGGCGGTTTGCCTCCCAGGATGGAAGTATTCGAAGATTTAAATAACTAACATGGCTACCTGTCGTCCATGGATAGGCAAACAGAAAAATGCATGATAAGGGAACAGGAAAATGGGGAGACATGATGGGTGGATTAGAAGATAGATCAGAGGGGTGGCAAGGATGGACATGGAGGTACAAGATGCAAATGAAGAAGAACTAGATTTGGGGGGAAATGTCTGAGGGCGATGGATGGGGTGGAAAGAGGACTGGATGGGGAAAGGCTGGGTGATAGGAACACAGTTGCACAGAGGGACGACAGGGTAAATTCCATCTCTCACCTGACCTGATGCTCAGCTCTGGCCTCTCACAGGGAGTTTCCTGGTCCCCTACATCATCATGCTCATCGTAGAGGGGATGCCGCTCTTGTACCTGGAGCTGGCTGTGGGGCAGCGCATGCGGCAGGGCAGCATCGGTGCCTGGAGGACCATCAGCCCCTACCTCAGTGGTGTCGGTATGTGGGATCCTTTTCAGTTCCTCTGACAGAGACTGGTATGTTCCTGGGTATGACAGGCGTGCAGGTTGCAGTTCACCTGTGGTTGGATGAACTGACAGCCCAGGGAGGGCTACCATTGAACTTGGGTAGAGCGGGCCCTGGATTCTGATCCTCATGTGGAACCCAACCCCCGAGGGAAACTCCCACCTTAAGGCATCTCTACTCAGGACCTTGGTGCCCGGCACAGAAGCATTCATTCAGTCCCAGCCCCTACCACCTGGGAATGTACACAACTGTCCCCTGCTTACTGAAAATGGCATGGCTGCATGAGCTTGTTCATCTTTACCACACCACTTAGGAAAACCATAAATTTTGCCGAAGTTTGGAAGTCAAGGAACCTGTGGATACTGGGTGGCTTCACATCCCACCATAGCTTTTCAAAGTGACCTCCACTTGCTATCCTCTGGTATCTTCAAGACATTGTTCACCTCTTCTGTAAAAGCCCAGGCTCCAGGGCCATCAATGGCCAGTTATTCCGGGTACCTTCCCAATCTAGAAAGGGGAGCAATTTTTCAGGAGAGAGGAGGGGTCAGCTCTGTATAATAGGAAGGCAGGCAACTGAGTCCCCAGGGAGCACTGACACCACTTACTGGCCAGATTTCCCTGTAGTGGTAGTGGTACCCACATACTCCCACCAGGACCAAGGTCAGCCACATTCCTGAGTGCTGCTGTGGGAACTAGCCTTCAGCAGCTCAGGAACTGGACGGGAGCTGTGGAGTCAGCAGACTAATCACTCAGCTTGACTTTTCTATCTGTGGGAGTAAAACTTAATTCTCTGGGGCTGGGAGAAAAAGGGAAATGCATGTGCGCGTGCTTGTATACACACACACACACACACACACATCCCTACCTACACACCTTTAGGGTCTCTATCATCTGTTTTCCTTATTTTCTTTACCTCGATCTAGATGTATCCCTTCTGTGTCTTTATTTTCCCTATTAGCTTATATAACCTAGTAGTATCTTTCAAGCAATATAAAAATTACAGTGTGGTTACATTCTATTTTAAAGTGAATGATCACAATGAATACAAGTAAAAAATAACATCTTTTTAATATATTTTACATAATTAAACATTTTATGTATTATAGGTGAAAAGTTATCTCCAAGAACCCATATACATTCATGTCCAAGCAACTTGTTATAAATTAACAGTGTATAAGCAATTTTCTCAGCCAGTTCTTTTACTGGCAGGTTGCATTTTGCAGTTACCAAAAAAAAAAAATCAATCACTTTATTTATCTTAAAAAGTAATCATATAAAATGTCTTAAAGAATCACAAATCTAAAACTTTTATATATAAAAAATAATCAGTCAGCTCTACTTTAAATCCTCAGGGTGCATACCCATTCAACAGTTTTTTATATCTGGAAACCGAGGGCAGAAAAGGGTACAAGGAATGATCACCTTTGATCACTAACCCATCCTAGCAAGAAAGGTACATCAGCTCGCAATAGCCAGGCTGCCATGGCTTTTGTTCCCAGGCCTCAATGAATCTGTCAACTATCAAAAGTGTGCCTTTCTAAACTTTATATTGTTCCCCAAGCCATTAACAAATACACATTAACCTAACCTTAAGTCATTATTTAAAGCTTTGTTTTAGCTATGATGCCCACCAAAAGCCATGAACACATCTCCCAACATCAACATTAAAAGAACTTGAGCTAGCCTAGCTTCTAGGACTCAATTGTTTTCCTTAATCATTTACCTAAGCCACAGTCTATATGACTCAAGAGAAATCATAAGTCCTCGCTGTATGACACTTCCTTGTTCTTATTTTTCTATCATCTGCCGTCCTGCTTTATCAAGGGTGGGGGCAACACTATATTATCCTGCCTTTACCTATATATATTAATTTTCCTAATAAACTAACCTCTATCATAATCCCTTATTATATTTAAAAACCCTTAATCATCAAAAATCTATTTAAACTAACTCTATTGTTGAATAAAATCATTGCTTCAGCTAAATAGTACAGCCTAAGAAGAAATCATCTTCATAATAATCCACAGGTAAAAATGCCTAATAGCATGGGATATTTCCACGAGACAATCACACTACATTAAAAGCAGTGGGGGTCCCCACATACCCATTCACACCATGTCAGATACCATAGAAAAATGGCAGCAGCAAACATGTAAAGGCACAGCACAGTAGCAAGAGACATTCTAAAGCTAAAGTCCTCAGGGCCTTGCCTGTCTGAGATTCACCTATCAGTGTCTTGCGATCTGGTGCTGAACTCCTGAATTCAAGTGTTGCTCCTCTGACATGACCACCAGCACCTGGGAGAGAAACTACTCTAAAAGCAAAGGGGATGGGGGCAGGGTTTTTTTTTCCTGCCCTGGGTGGTCCCATCATGTCTCTCCTAGGGATGCTTATAGGTCAGGCTAACATATCTGCTTCTCAGCACAGCCTTCTTATTCCTTTCAGGCATTGCTAGCTTGGTGGTCTCCTTCTTGGTCTCTGTGTATTACAATGTCATCAACACCTGGACTGTCTGGTACCTCTTCCACTCCTTCCAGGTGAGCAGAGGCCTGGTCACACCAGGAACAATAAGGGGAGAGGATTCCTCTGGGAAGAATGGAGAAGTCTGTAGGTTATAACATGAAGGGAGCCTGAGGGGAAGGCATACTTCCAATCATTCATAGAACTTCTGATTCTGATGTACCACACTAAAGGGAGAGAAACCACTCTAAAAGCAAAGGGGATGGGGGCAGTTGGTAGCTGTCTGTGGGAACATCCAGATCAGACCTGCAAAACGGCTCTCACATCCACTAGCAAGACCTGCTTGGAGCTAGGATCTCAGGGGATGAATACCCTAGAGTACAGACCTGGCTTCTGATGTTTCATACAGTAGCCTTGCTCCCATCTATCACTAGATAATGCCACTGGGCCCTGAGCTATGTCCTGTGAAATGTGGCCTTGAAACCAAGAGTTTGTCCTGTTTGTTTCTGTTAGTGGAACACTTTTGTCCTATAAATCTGACCTGGGCAACAGGGCACTTACCTTAGAGCAGGGTTACTCCCACACCACCCACAACTCTGGTCAGATTTATTCTTTCCCTCAGTTCCCTTTTTTACCTCTTTGAGCAGTTGGCCTTAGGTTATAATCATTGACAACATTTAAGTTCATTTGTTTTTAAGTTCCAAAGAAACCAGTTAAAACCATCAAAAGCAGAAGAGGGTTTCATTGTTCCCACTCTACAGGGTCAAGGAGCCTTAAATGCCAAGCTCAGGTACTGCTTAATGACTGCACAGAAGTCACTGGTGCCAGGGTCTCTCACTTGAGAGACTCAGTAGCTTCAAGGCACTGGACTTAACCTCCTTCTTGTTCCACATCCATGGGATGAAGCATCCGTCTGTACTCTTAAGGGTGTCCTAATTGTGAGTTGGCTTGGGGAAGTTGGAACTGAGCTGTTTAACTGTTGCTTTCTCTGGTTTGCTCCAAGTTGACAGAAAGGAAAGAAGCCATAAGTCATTGACAAGTATTTTTCAGTTAAAAATTTTTGTCTATGGGTGTTTATCTGCATCTATATCTGTGTACTACATTAGTATAGTACCTGTGGAGGTCAGAAAATGGCATCAGATCTCCTAGAACTGGAGTTATAAATAATTGTTAGTATTGTGTGGGTGCTATGTGGGTTCTAAGAATTGAACCTAAGTCATCTAGTGTTCCTGACTGCTGAGCCTTCTCTCCAGCCCCATCATTAACAAGTTCTGACCATCCTAGCAGTGGTACAAAAGCTTGGCATTTAAGCACCTGGTTTGGCTGCTGTAATGATGTTGCGTCAGTGTCCTTTTATTGTAGCTGTTCTGGTCACAATCCAGATGCTAGTAACAGTCTTCTAGGCCCACTAGAGAGTGCAGTAGTCCTCAAAAACCACATGTAAAATTTCAGGAAGAAGCAACTCTTGTCAGCTTTACTAGATCAAGATATCGTAGGCACCAACTTATAAAGAGGAAAGATTTATTAATTCATAACTTGGCCTCTAGTAAAAAATGAAATTTAGCAGAACATCATGTCCTAAATACATATAGGAGGAAACAGCAATAATGAAACCAGAATAGAAAGTAAGAGACAGGATTCCCCTTGGCTTCTTGGAAAGTACACCCCAATGACTTCTTACTTGGCCCCATCTCCTTAATATCCACAGCACCTCCTCATCCAAGGGAACACAGCTTCTGGGTATGGATCTTTGGGAATGTTTAACATCCAAACCAAACTAGTCATCCTCCATGCCATCCAATCCCCCTGAAGACTCAAGTCCTTGTCAGTCTCAAAGGCTGCAGCCATTTGCCCTTGAGGGACCAGCTTCCTTCTTTCCCAAGATCACTCCCAAGGCTGTATCCCATCATCCCACCAAACCCTCGACCTTCCCCTTACCTCTCCATCGATCCTCACTTCATTCCAAAGGATCCCCTGCCGTGGTCTGTCTGCCCACTGAATGGTAACCGCACGGGCTATGATGAGGAGTGTGAAAAGGCCACGTCAACTCAGTACTTCTGGTACAGGAAAACACTCAACATTTCGCCGTCCATCCAGGAGAATGGAGGAGTGCAGTGGGAGCCAGCACTGTGCCTCACCCTGGCCTGGCTGATGGTGTATCTGTGCATCCTGAGAGGCACCGAGTCAACTGGCAAGGTAGGCTGGGGAGCCTCATTGGGCTGTGCCTGGATGGATTTGGCTGTGGACAGGTGGGTGCCTTAGTGAGTTCTGCAAGTATTCACAGAGGGCCTAGAGAGAAAAGTGCTTCTCCTAGTTAGCGTGAACGGTCAGCTTGGCACAGCCCAGAGTCACCTAAAAAGAGAGTCACAGTTGAGGGGTTTCCCAGATCAGACTGGCCTTTGGGCATCTCTGTAGGGGATTTCCTTGATTCAAATAATTTTGAATCAAGTTTATTCACTTGATTATTTTATCATCAATTTATAAACATGTTAGTGTCCAAAATCTCTAATTTATATAACATTATGTCAAGCTGATGATGGCCTTATTACTTGATGTTAAGGGTCCCAATCCACTGTGAATGGCACCATTCCCTGGGTAGGTGGTCCCATATTACAAAGAAAATGTACATTTACACAAAGGAGTACTACACAGCAGTAAAAAATAATGACATCTTAAAATTTGCAGGTAAATGGACGGATCTAGAAAAAACTATATTGAGTGAGGTAACCTAGACCCAGAAAGACAAATATTTACTCATTCATAAGTAGATTTTAGACATAAAGCAAAGAAAAACCAGCCTACAGTCCACAACCCCAGAGAACCTAGACAACAAAGAGGGCCCTAAAAGAGACATACATGAATGTACATAGGATGAAGAAAAAGACAAGATCTCCTGAGTAAATTGGAGCTTGGGGTCACAAAAGAGGGTAGAAGGGCCAGGGGAGGGAAAGAGGGGAATGCAGAAAAATGTATAGCTCAATAAAAACAATAAAAAATAGGTATAATAACAAAGAAAACTAGCTAATCGTGATCCTGTGAACAAACCATCCAACAATATTTCTTATTTAATTCTGCTTCAAATTCCTTCCTGTGTGCCTGCCCTAACTTTCTTCAGTGTTGCACCGTGACCTAGAAGCATCAGCTGAATAAACCCTTTCCTCCCCTGAGTTGCTTTTGTTTAAAATGCTTTATTATAGCACAGAGGAAACAATCATGGTGCCACAATAAACTATAGTATTCGCAGAGAGCCTTGGAGAAATGGACGCCATAGTAGACTAAGGATTATTCACACAGAGGCTGAGGGGAAATTTTTAAAGGCAAATATGGGGAGGGTTATCCAAGATGTTTTGAGACGAGCCCCTGAGCACAAGGAGCACAAGGGCTAACAACGAGGGACACCTTAATCCCAGACTGAACATAGCTACTAGGCAGACCTATGTGACGACTTTCCGGGTCCTTTTTGTTTCTGGTATCATTTCTGACAGTGACAATCAAGCAGTCATACCTAAGAACCCTTTTTCACAGCCTCCTGGCTTTATTTACTTTCACATTAGAGTTGATAAACCTGTCCTGAAAACTTTCAGGCCCTGTAAAAGAATTTTAGTGCTTTTTCCAGATGTTACCAGCGGTGGGCAAACTCCTAAAACCTTTGACCCAAAGACTATGCTATGATCCATCTTCCTGGTGATGTAAGCAGGTGCTGTGCTCCATTTCCAAGTTAGTGTGCTATGATATGTGCCTCTCTATATGCTGTGGATATGTTTTATTACCGTTGATTAATAAAGAAGCTGATTTGACCAATAGCCAGGCAGAATAGAGCCAGGCAAGAAATCCAAGCAAAGGTACAAGGAGAAAGAAGAAGGCAGAGTCTGAGAGATGCCAACAGCTGCCAGAGAAGCAAGATGTGAGCTCATGCCACATCCATGTGACAATAGGTAGATTAATAGAAATGGGTTAATTTAAAGATGTAAGAGATCATAATAGTAAGTCTGAGCTAATAGACCAAACAGTTTGTAATTAATATTAAGCCTCTGAGTGTTTATTCAGGAACTGGTGGGCGAGAGAGAAACCTCCACTTACAGTACTGTTCTCTGGTAGGGCAGCACTAAGCTTCATAAAAAAAAAAAAAAAACCTTGAATGAGGTTTTCTTTTACCGATAATCCTTAAGAGCTCACAGCATTTATATTGATTTAACTTCATATGTTTTAAATTAAGCATTCTGTAAAAATAGTATCTTCATTTAAATGATATATATATTGAGAATTTTGAGAATTTTTTGCATACTGGTGCATAGCTACTTCCTACAAATTGAGGTTGACTCCGTTCCTGGGTTCCCGCAGGTGGTCTATTTCACTTCATCAATGCCCTACTTTGTGCTCATCATATACCTGATTCAGGGCCTCACACTCCATGGAGCCACCAATGGCCTGATATACATGTTCATGCCCAAGGTATGGGGAGAAGTTCTGAGGGTGTCGCTACCTGATGCGAGATGTCCTTCTGTATATGTGTTGCTTTGATTGGTTGATGAATAAAGCTGTTTTGAGCAATGGCTTAGCAGAGTAAAGCCAGGCTGGAAACACCTATGATAAGAGTTTCTCACTAACATTAACAGTGATTTAAACATACATTCATAGTTCTTTGACTATAATTAACAGTGCTTTCTTTACTCTTAAATTCCCTTGGGATGCTTGGATAATCTTACCTAAGGTTCAGTCATGTTCACCTGCCAAGAAATATACTGCACGTAGACCAGGTCTAGAGAGCTGGGGAGGTTGGGAGGTAATCCCCCCCCCACCTCTGGGCCTACTTCTCCTGGGAGGGGCAATCTTGGATTGGGACCTGGGATTCCTCAGCCTTATACTTATTGACCTTCTAGATGGAACAGCTAATCAACCCCAAGACCTGGATCAATGCAGCCACACAGATCTTCTTCTCACTGGGCTTAGGGAGTGGTGGCCTGATTGCCTTTGCCAGCTACAGTGACCCCTCCACCAACTGCCAGAAGCATGCCGTCATTGTGTCCATCGTCACTAGTACCACCGCCATATTCGCCAGCATTGTCACCTTCTCCATCTATGGCTTCAAGGCCACCTTCAACTATGAAAACTGCTTAAACAAGTGAGTCTAAGTTGTCCCTCATTACCTTGGGATGCAAGAGGGAAGGCAAGGCTCTAAAGCTCTGAGCTGGAAGGGTGACTGGGAAAGACTGGGTTCCCAGAAGTCAAGGGGTAGACTAAAGACACCAGTGTTGAGGTCTACAGTATGAGGGTCAGTCATTTCCTCAACTACATAATTACTGCCTTCTACCAGCACTAGTAACTGGAGGTTCAAAAGTTAAGGCCTGCCTTGCAGGGAATAGGCAGTTTAAAGTGGTCATTGTACTTAGCAGAAATGGGCATTCAGAAAAAAATAGTTTTTTGGCCCCATTCCCCATCTCAAGTGTAACCAAGATCTCTCTAGTCAAGTCCCAGAGACTACAGATTACTGTCTTTGACATCTCTCAAACCAGAGGACCGCGCAGACGGTGGTGGCGCACACCTTTAATTCCAGCACTCGGGAGGCAGAGGCAGGTGGGTCTCTGTGAGTTTGAGGCCAGCCTGGTCTTCAAGAGCTAGTTCCAGGACAGGAACCAAAGCCACAGAGAAACCCTGTCTCGAAAAAAATAAATCAGAAGGCCATCTTTCAGATGCTAAGATTCCAGTAGGGGGGCCAGTTACACAAGTGGCCATCTCTAAAGTAGTACTGAAATTAACGGAAGTCGATGTATATTCAAATAATTTGCAAATTGATATGAGTTTAAGTGATTCTAAGGTTAATTACTCAGTGGCACAAGCCATATTAAAGTACAATGTTCTACCACCACATCCAATTTCATCATACATTACTAGCCCAGATATTAAACAACGTCACTATAGGGTCACGGTTCTTATCCTCATCTCTGATCAGATGTGAAGCTTCTGCACAGACATTCATAGCTGCCCTTCCCTACAAAGAGTTATTAATCCACTCCCTCCCCTCACTGAGATTCTCAGAGCTATTAGGACCAGTAGCTCCTTAGTCATGAAGGTCAAGATGACGGTCTGCTCTGCAGGGTGATTCTGCTGCTGACCAATTCTTTTGACCTTGAAGATGGCTTTCTGACAGCCAGCAACCTGGAGGAGGTAAAGGACTACCTGGCATCTACCTACCCAAGCAAGTACAGCAGCGTGTTCCTGCACATTAGGAACTGCAGCTTGGAATCAGAGCTGAACACGGTAAGAGGCCTGGGAAGTGTGGGGACTGCCTCTCTCTCCACACAGTCGGTTTCTATTCTGACTAGTTAGTGCTAGCTCAAAGTCTATTTTGTCAGCTATTGGGATATCAACACCTGTTTGTTTCCTCGCTCCCATTTAATTGGAGTTTCCTCTTTCTCCCTACATTCTCTCTTCCTGCCTCTTTTATTTTCATTTTGAGAAGGATCTCATAGTCCAGGCCGGTCTTGATCCCATGATATTCCTGCCTCCATCTTCCAGGTGGTGGGAATACAAACATTCAGTCCCCTAGCCAACTCTATTTTTCTTTTAAATGTCTATACCTCATATCTTTTTCTTCATCGCACTAAAACTCCAACAACAATGTAAGTGAAATATAGAGTGGGCCTATTTGTATCATTTTTAATATTTAAATACATTCTTAAAGATTAATTTCAGAGACTACTCTTCAAGAATAGGGACAACAAAAGGCCTGTGGCTCTGGTTGCCAAAAAAAATTGAAACTGGTTAATTTTTGTGTTTGATTAGACAGGATTTTGTTTAGTCTGGAGAAATTCCAGGTTATTTCACAGGGAAGGCAACACTTTCTTGTGGTGATTCAGACTCAGGTCCTGTTGCATCAGTTCAAGGCATGGCACACATACACCACAGGCTGTAAGTCTAACCTTTAAGGCCTCGGTCTTTTATTCTTGCTCACTGTTCTCTCCTAGACTGTTTTTGTTATTGAAACCCGAGAGTCTTTGACACTTCCCTCCTTCATTGTTTCTCATTTTGAATTTGGATTTGATTTATTACACTTATTGGGGTGTGTGCACATGTTCTACAAAGAAGGAGTAGAAGTCAAAGGACAAGTTGAAGATTTCAGCCTCTCCCTCTCAGGACCCCAAGAATCGAACTCAGGTTGTAGCAGAAACCTTTACCTGCTTAGCATCACCCCGATTTCTCTTCTTGAGACATTTCCATGCAAACTTAAAATCAAAAGTTGGACAGTATTTGACTCACAAAAGAGGACAAGGATCATCCATACCCGATTTATAGGCCACAGGTTGGACCTCTTGGTTATTTTATGCAATTTATATTCACCTAAATGTTTACCATTTTATTTACCATTCCTTTTTGCATTACAGACTTTAGGGTTTGGAGATCCTCCCTTAAAATATCTTCCTTTAGAGATGCTTTCTCAACAGCAAACATGTTTATGTTTAGTTTTTATGTAAATATCTGTTTGGCTCCCAAGTAAAAAATTCAGGTTAACAATTTTCTTTCAACATTGTATTCAACAATATCTGTCTTCCATTGTTGTTAATTCTTTCATCTTTTGTTAGCAAGCAGTTTTGTCTGAACCCTGCCATGATCTTCCCTTTGTCTTTGGCCCTCTCAGCGGTATGGATGTAGCCTTATTTGTCCATTCTAAACCTAAGTGATGTCAGGTTTTCTGATCTATGGACCATGTTTCTTAAAAACGTGAAAAACTCAAAAATTTGTTATCTCTTAACCACTGCTTCCCTGCCTCCCGTCCTTTGGAACTTCATATCTTAAAATTTGTAAATTATTATATAAGCCTCTTTATTATTTTGATCTACTTTTTCAGGTCAGTTGTATTGATTTTTGTTATAGATTTATTGTTCTGTATCTTAGATACAACTGAATATGTATCTCCCAGTTCACTACTTTTCTCTTCAGTAGCATCAAATCTAGTGTTTAACTTGGATATTTCATCAATTTCACATTGTCATTTACAACACTACTTTCCTTTCAATAATATGCATTTCTAGATACCAGTTTGGTTTTTTATGACTTTTTCTTTAACACTTTATACATAGCTATTATAATAGTGACCTTACGCAGGAAAATAAGAGATTATTCTAGAGGACTCATTCTGACCCTGATAGAAAGACTGGCTCACAGGACACAGGAGTTAGCTCTCTAAAGGCAGCAAGTTTGCTGCACGTGTTGTAGTGAGAACGGAGGCTAGTGTTAAAATGAAGATTAGGATCAAGACAGCAAAGCCTGGAACACTAAGATGAATAGGAGAGCTTATGGGAGGGTATGAGATAACCAAGGTAGACAGATTAGGGGGAAAGGCTCCGAGTCAGTGACAGCAGATAGGCTGCCCCCTCCAAAGTCCTTGAGGAATGTAGGTAACACTGTTGTTCTTTCATAAATTCTTGCTTCATTAAAGAATTAAATTACATTTAACTAATTAAAACTAAGTTACAAGTGTAGATAGAAGGTTTCTCCTAACAGGATTCCACCTAGGTGAAACTGTGGTAGTTAATTCTCTGCCATGGTAAAGATACAAGTTGGTCATGTAAATATGAGAATACTTGGTCTAATTAACAGCACTTGAGACACCTGCAAAGTCAAGGTAGCAATACCAGCTAATGACTAATAGAAAGTCAAGGTCAGTAACAGAGCTGGAGCCACAGATGGACACCGTGTCCTGTGTCTCCCTGATTGGGCCAGAAGGACATGCACATAGTATGTGGACCTGTGATAGCCCAGAGAATAAAATAATCTCAACAGAGTCTATTCATCCTCTACCATTGTGCTACAAAAAGACTGGACAAAAGAAATTCAACATTTTCCTCTTGGAAACCCTTCCCACTCTTGGGATTTCTCTCAGTTTTTCATATTTTCTCACTTTCCTATAGTTTTGGTTTTTGGAGACAGGGTTTCAAGGTTTCTCTGTGTAGCCCTGGCCATCCTAGAACTTGCTCTGTAGACCAGGCTGGCCTTGATCTGCCTGCCTCTGCCTCCTTTGGGTAATGAAATTAAAGTCATGAGCCACCACGCCCGGTCCTCTAAAATAATTCTTAATAAAGGGAGCATCTTTAATTTTCATTTGCAAGAGACGATGAACCATGTCACTGCCTGGGGCCAGTCTTTAGTGATCTGAGTGTCCAGCCTCTTAGGACCCTAGGAAAATCCCAACTGCGTGAAAAAGGTCCCCTCACTTTCAGAAACCGCGACAATAGTAAGAACGACACACAAAACAACTTTTACTATATTTTATTATTTACAGTTGTGTGTGTCCTTATGATTGGCACCATCGGTACGCCATCAAGCTGATCTGTATTATGTCAGTCCATCAGGTTCCTATAAAAAAAATTGGTGGTGAAACCAACAGGTATTTCTCATATTTCCGAAGACTGGCTTCCGGTGAAACTTTGCTTCCAGGATCAGTGATAGCACTGACTAGGAGGCCACCTTTTAAGCCTTACTTTAACGACTCCCTACAGGCTTTGTCTGAAATACAGTCACTTTGAGAGTAGAAGTTTCAACATTAAGAATTCAGTCCAGTCAGCAGTGGTGGCTCACATCTGTAATCCCAGCGCTTGGGAGGCAGAGACAGGTGGATCTCTGAGTTCGAGGACAACCTGGTCTACAGAGTGAGTTCCAGGGAAGCCAGGGCTGTTACACAGAGAAACCTCATCTCAAAAAACCATCCATACCACGTCTGAATGACAAACATATGTCATCCTTGAAGAGGGACGTTCTAAATGTTTGTCATTCCTGCTGACAATGCCTCACCTTCCTGTGGCTCTGTAAACCCTTATGAGTTCATGGCTTAATTTCTAGTAGTCCTGTGGCTAGTCTAAACCCACCCCCTCGGACCCTTTACTGGTGTCGAAAGGGATTTGACTGTAAGCACAGGTAATAGACTCAGGGTCAGGGAGATGGCTCAGGTTAAGAGTACTGGCTACTCTTCCACAAGTTCTGAGTGCAATTCCCAGCAGCCACACAGTGACTCACAACCATTTATAATAGGATCTGATGCCCTCTTCTGGCATGCAGGTATACATGCAAAGCACACACGCAGCACTCACACATAAAATATAAATTTTTTTTAAAAAGTAGGCTCAGCTTCTGTAGCAATTACCAACACAGGATGTGACCACCAGGCAACCCTGCCAGGTATCCCCACATTTCCTCAGTCCTGGCACTGGAAACAAAGATCCAGATGTTTTTGACTTTGTAATATTTTATCTAAAATATAAGTTGGGACAGGAAGGAGTATGCAGGGTTCAGTACTGACAGAAAGTTCATCACATTGAGTGTGTGTGTTCGTTCTCTTCGGTTCAGGTGAGCCTCCAAACCTGGGCTCTAAGGTAAAGGAAACAGAATCATTATGTGACCAGCTCCAAGGTCCCAACATTGAACATGTGTAAAGAGGCTATCAAGGCATGTAACTGGTATCATTTTACCACTTGCAGGCTGTCCAGGGCACAGGCCTGGCCTTCATCGTCTTCACTGAGGCTATTAAATACATGGACGTGCCCCAGCTGTGGTCAGTGCTCTACTTCTTCATGCTGCTGGTGCTGGGTATGGGAAGCATGCTTGGAAACACAGTGGCCATCCTCACCCCTCTGACGGACATCAAGGTCATCTCCAGCTACCTGCCCAGGGAGGCCATTTCAGGTCAGGACACCAGGCAGTGGAGGCAGGGCATGGGCGGGTGGGGAAATGCAAGACAACCAGTGAAGGGGCTTCCTCAGGAGCCATGTGTTTCTGAGGCAGCTCCAGAAGGGCTGTAGGAGTGTAGCTGTGCTCATTCCTGCAAGAGTGCTTCTCAGCCCTAGGAGCTAGACTAAGAACTCACCACATCCCAGGGAAATGAGGCAGTCAGCCTACCCTTGGGAAAAGGTGACAACTCTCCAGCCTGCACTCATAGGTCTCCAGGCTTTGGAGAGCCCACATCTGGTTTTAATGCATATGACCTGTTCCCACACCAGGAGGAGCTCCTTCCACATACTCTCCAGGCAATAAACACCCAACCAGATCACCCTGTTCCTACTGCTTAATACTACTAGTTTTTCTCTCTGTTACTGAAAGTCATTGGAAAGGACAATCTGGGGCTGCTGTTGACATTCAAAACCTGTCAGTGAGTGCACTATGCTGTTGTCGGCCCCTGATCCTGTCTGATACACCACTATAAAAGCACACACCACTTCTTGCATTTTGACTGTGAAGCTGTTAGCAAAGGAACTAGCCTTTGCCACGATGCCTATTCAATACCTTCACTGTCATCCTACCCAACAAGGGGTCATGAGGACCCTGTAGCCAGCCTCCAATAATTCTGTAATTCCACATCCAGGATGGGCAAAACAAGGCCCCATCTAGTCTTCATGTTCTAACTACCCACTGGAAGCTACTCTCTTTACGCCGCACTTGACATCCTCTCTGGGACTGGGTCTTTGCAGCCCAAACTGGTATGAAATGCCCCCAACTGTTTTTTTCCTTGAGCTGACATCCCCTACCAAGCCAGCACCTACAGCTCCTATGGATGAACCTACCCTCCAAAGTGTTGTGTCTAGGAACCTGTGGCTCCTGCTGGCATACAGCATGGGATGGGAGGCAGGGAGACTCAGAGAGATGAGCAGTGATCTTGCATTCCAGGTCTGGTGTGCCTCATCAACTGTACCATTGGTATGGTGTTCACCATGGAGTCCGGGAACTACTGGTTTGGCATATTCAATGACTATGCAGCCACCCTGTCCCTGCTGCTCATTGTGCTGGTGGAGACCATAGCTGTGTGCTACATATATGGGCTGAAGAGGTAAGGAGACCGCAGACCCTGCCTTCTTCATGGGGCAGAGACGCTGCAGGGCCATGCTCATAAGAAAATCAGTGGGCATGCCCATTTTAGATTCGAGATTGTCAGCCACCCTAGCCCTGTGGACTGAGAGGACTGGCATTTCCCTCCCCAATGTACCCTGCTCTCTTCTTCTTTGAGAAGTAGCCTCTGGTCCACACCTGGGGACCTCTGAGAGCTCACATCAGGGAAATGTCCCATGACCATTCTTTAATGGTCATCCTCTCTCAGGGAGCCTCAGCCCTTTTCCCTTCAACTCAACACCTCACCAAGGAAAGGTCCAGATGGGTCCGGGGACATGTTCACATATCATTAATAACATCTTCCTAAGAGACGAGGGTATGTGAACTGGACCCCCTCCCGCCAGAGCATGAATAAGCCTATGTTCTCTCCTTGTGGTCCAAACAGATTTGAAAGTGACCTTGAGGCCATGACTGGCCGCTCCCTCAACTGGTACTGGAAGGCCATGTGGGCATTTGTGAGTCCACTACTCATCATCGGCCTCTTTATCTTCTACCTGAGTGACTATATCATTACAGGAACGCTACAGTACCAAGCCTGGGATGCCACTCAGGTACCTGACATTCCTGCAGGGCTGGGGAATAGGGCAGAACCCACGGTCACCTCAAGAACACAGGGAACCATTGCTGTGGTGTGGGGAGGTCACAGGAACTTCATCGAGATGTTTCGCAGATGCTCAGATAGTACAGCAGAACGGGGCTGTGAGTGGTTAGCCATGCTGCATGGTGAGGACACCACTGTAGAGATGCTGGCTCTTCCTTCATAGGAGCTTTACATGTTGAAATGGCTCTCAAAGGTGAGGGTAGTATGGTGCAGACTTATTGTCACATGAAGTGCTGGTCTACAGGCACATTCCCACCCATGTTATAATACTGACCAAAATCCTGGCATAATGCCGGGAGGAAAAAGACTTGGGTCAGTTTCAGAGTCACAGCAACCAGAATGTGCAGCAGAGTGGATTCACTCCCAAATGGCCAGAGAATGGAGTGGAAGCCTCCAGAGACCGAATAACCCAAGGAACAGCCCCCAATTACCTACTTCCCCAGTTAGCTCCAGAGCCTTTCAAAGTCAAATTCCACAGCTAGAGAAGGTAGGCACCAGAGTCTGGGGAAGGAGGGGCGGATATTTCATGGTCAACCTAAATACAACTCACACCACTTCTCTTCCTTTTCTGGAACGGAGACTGGAGTCTTAAGACAAGCGAAGGTTTCTCCTGTCTCTCTTGCAGGGTCACGTGGTTACCAAGAACTACCCCACATATGCACTTGCCATCATTGGGCTTCTGGTAGCCTCCTCTACCATGTGCATCCCTCTGGTAGCCCTGGGGACTTTCGTCACACGCCACTTCAAGAGCAGAGCAAACTTTCCTATGGCCTGAAGCGGACCTCTCATGGACTTACTATGAGCACTTGCTGTTCTACGGCTCCTTCCTAAGGTAGATGTTCCTCAGTTACTTTACTTTTCTGCTTCCTGAATCTGTAAAGAAAATTTAATTCTCTGTATCATGCTGACAGAAACCTAACTTTGGCCATAAATACTACAGAGTTTTTAATCTTCCATAATGTATACTTTTGTTGCCAGAACTTATACCCTTTTGTGTTACATATTCAACTCATATACTTTTCATCATTTCGACCTTTAGCTTTCGTTCTAGAAATATCAAATGTTTACATGCCACCATTACAGTAACGAGACACTGGCTTACAAATTTACCTCTATCATTTGCTTTCCTGTTGTTGTGATGGAGTCTTGGTATTTATGGACCCCAGGTTTGGTCTGCACCTGTTCATCTTAGGCTAGACTAGAATCTGTGATCCTCCAGCCACAGCTTCACCATGCTGACATAAAAGCATGGGGAAGGGAATGAGGGGACAGTTCCCTGGAGGCTCGGCCTGCCCTCAGGATGGCAGAGGGGAGTACGAATGAGTCTCAAGTAGCAGTCAACGCTACACTGGGTTGAAACAGTCCTGACTTCACCCTGTCCAGTGCTTGGATTACAGACACCTGCCCTTTCAGTATTTCCTCTGCTTTCTCTTATTGAGGAAAGTGTTTTGTTTCATCACTGAAGTGTAACTTTGCTGGATGTGGTGTTCTGGACTGGCAGATTTCTTTTTAGCAGTTTGAATGTATTGATAAATCCATTTAGTTTAGTCTAACGGTTATCACCTTACATGCGACTTGACTCTTGCTCCTTGGTGGTAGAAGAGGAGGAAAATGAGCTGTAGATGAAACAATTCAAAAAGTAGAGGATGCCAATCTAGAAAGCACAGTGTGTGACACAATAAAACCACATGAGATTTTTTCCCGTCAGTGGGCACTAGCTGACACGGATTCCAGATAGAACCACTGATCATGAAGACTGAGTTTAAAGGATCCATAAATACACATAAGCAAAATTTATAAATTTAAAGCAACCAACAACAACAAAAAGGTGAAAGAAAAATCAGGTATGCTGGAACAAGCTTTATATTCCAGCACTTAGGAGGCAAGAGGATCTTAGGTTTGGAGACAATCTGGGCTGTATAGTGAGACACTGTCTTCAACGAGAACTATATAAATAGGAGAGAGGGGTGGAGCAATGGCTCAATGAGTCACAACACTTGCTGTGCAAGCATGAGGAGCAGACACTGGATCCCAATGAGACCCTGTCTCAGGGGAAGAAAGCAGGTGATAGCAGGTACCTCACACCCTTCTCTGGCCTCCAGCTGTACACACATAAGGTCCATGCACATATATACACAATCACACACAAAAGGAAGCTAGAGCTGGACAGATGACTTGGTGGGTAACGGTAATGGCTCTTCCTGCAATGGATAGGTTCAGTTCCCAGTACCCACCGCTGTCTAACTCAAGGTACTCCGACACATTCTTTTAGCCTCCAGGCACTTGGCAGGCATATGAAGCTCATACATGCAGGCAACACACGATAAATATATATCTGGGGGTGGGTGCACTATTGCTCATCTCAGTGAGAAGGCCATGCAGACCAAGGCCAACAGCACATGGCAAGCAAAAACAACCTTTTTAACCAGTCTCTCGCTTACCTGCCAGGCAGCGTTACATCAGCTCCTTTTTCCTGGTTAAGTTCCACCTTCTCCAAGAAGCCCAATTACTTCCTTCCTTGGTGCTCTCTACTGACCACAGGACACATGCTTCCTATACCTCCCCCAAAGATCCCCATCTCCTGGTACTGATGTTTTGTGTAATCTCTTCCCCTTGAATGAGCTAGAGCCACTGACTTCTAGTGCAAAGGATACAATACAGGTGATGGGCAACACTTCCATCTTGATTGCAGACTCAATATTGTTGACTATGATGTAAAATTTAATTGGACATTTCTCTCCCACCTGTCAATTCCCAAATAGCCATTCAGAGGCTGAATATGAATTTTAAATGTTTGGTCAATAACTCAGGCTTATTACTAACTAGCTCTTACATTTTAAGTCAACCCATATTCCTTATTTACGCTCTGCCACATTGTAGCACCTTTATATAAGCACGGCATGTTCATCTCCTGCTCCCTCTGCATCTGGCTCACAACTCCTGACCCTGCCCTTCTCTTTCCCATGATCATTGGTTTGGTTGCCCCACCTATACTTCCTGCATGGCTACTGGTCTATCAGTATTGTAGTAAACCAATCTGAATGACAAATTACAGTGTACTAGAAGATATTCCACAGCATGAATGGCTTTCAGTCCAGAGTCAGTATGGATGTTCAATTCAACAAGCATGGGACAAATTCAATTTTGCCAACAGTGACAATCATCTAGAAAGTAGATCCTGCCTGCTTTCATTAGAATCTTAACTGTGGCTTTGTGGAATGCCCTGAAGCAGAGAAACTGAGACAATACAAGCGATCATGGCCTACTTCAAGCCAGAGTGTGGGAACAACTTGTTACAGTGATAGGTTAACTAACATGGTGAGGCCATTCAGAGCTGGTCTATCTTCTCTCACAGTGAATTACTAACTAAATTACCTACCACATTTTGTTGACGTGCTGGGATTACAGGTGTGGGTCACCATGCCAGGTCTTTTAGAGTACTGGGATTGTGCCCAGAGTTTTATGCACACTAGGTCAGTGCTCTACCAACAGAGCCACATGCCCAGTCCTGAAAATACTTTTCCACATGTACTATTTTCCTGTTTATCAGTTGCAACCTGTATCACCTATCCACCCATACTTCCTTATCACCTTGCAACCTTTATCACCTTGAAACAAATTATAATTTGGAAGTAGAGATACTTTTTTTTAAATTTTTTCTGTATTTTTTAATGTGACCCTTGAGAATCTTGCTGCTGTAGAAAACTTGCTTCCATTTCACAGTGAGACCTTAGTACTTAGAGATACTCTTATAGACATTAAACCTCAGTAAATGTTATATATTACTAAGTGTTGTCTTAGTTTTTAATCCATAAAAAATAATGATAAAGATATAAAAATGTCTTAGGTGATCATCACTAGAAAACAGTTTAGAAGCTATTGGTTTCCTTGTTTACTTATAATGACTAGTATTTCTATAATGACCAAACACTGCTTTAAGATAAAAAAAAAACCACCTCTGATAAAAATACAGAAACAACACCAACAGTAGTTAAGAAAGAATATGGCATTTTATTTTTTCATATGGATGTATAGTACATGAATTAAACAAAATCACTGCAGGGCTCTAAAACATTGATCACTTGCAGCCTAACCCAAAGACATCAGTCCTTGCAAAGTAGCCACATTAGTGGTTCAGATTTGGTGTTTGCTGTAGCAGTTGACATGAAGTGTTCACTGTGAAATGCCCAGTGACATCTGAATAATAATTATAGTAGACATGGGCTGGGCTTCAACATTCCACCTTTGGAACAAATATGCTTATTTACATGTCGGAACAGGTAGCTCTACTTACTTACCTTACTGTGAGTTTTAATGACTGATTTTAAACTACACAGGATTTTCCCAGAGTTTCTAAAAGCAATAACTCTTATTGTTTATAAAAGATAATGTTGAAAAAGGTAATGTTAAAGGCGCTTTTAGAAATACTTAAGGACAACATAAGGTACTATTAGAAAAAAACTACATATTTTTAAGCAAAACACTGATGCCATAGCAGTGTTTAACTGAACTGCTTTAAGATAGTGCAATGATACTACCTTATATACTGTTCTAATATCTAAACCTCATAATTACAATTTTAATATATAACCTGACCTACAATTACAACTATGCACAGCTTCTGAAGCGCAATTTCGGTCTGTTTTATGCATAAATTAAAGTTGGTCCTTGATTTGGAGAATGACGGCTACCTGGAAGCACGAACTCTCACTTACTGACAGCGTGAGAAAGCAGGAGGACCGCGAGGACCGCGAGGACCGCGAGGACCATGCATGGAAAGCAGTTGCTACCCAGCGTGAATCAAACCTAGCAGTAGACCCTCTCTGAGGCCTGCATGTCTCAAGGAGTAACCAAAAAAAAAAAAAGGGTCCCCACAGATATGGGAGGAAGAGGAAGCAGCCGGCCAATCGAGTGTACTTTCTGCAATAGAGCGGTTCCTAGAAAGAGGCAACTTTGGACCTTTAGCATAAGAGACAGACTTTACATTCTTTGATTTCATTTACACCTTCTAAAAAAGATAAAATACATCTGAACTTTTCATGCAGGGGCATGAGGGCAGCTCAAGCTGCTGAAGCCAAGAGGCAGCTACCAGAGACTTCCAACAGCTCTAGATCCCATTCTCCTCTTCCTTCCTGTGAAATTACTCCTTATCAAACTACTTGATACCTGTAAGAGACATTACATTCTATAAACATAGTAGGATTAGCGTATTAAGTGTTTAAGAAAAGTCCAAAGATATATGGAAAATATGCTTGCTAACAGTGGCTGCTTTACAATGACAATAATGAAACAGAGCTAGAAAAATAATTTTACTGTCTTAAATAATGAAAGAAGTTAAAATTTTAAAATATATTACTTATCTGTGAACTTTTGATTAACTTGACAATGAATAGATTTCTTCTGATCTGTGAGCTGAATTTAAGCTACATTTGAATTACAGTATAGCTTCAAATTATAAATATAACCATCCCAACAGTAAAGAGATCATCAAAGCAGTAATTACCCAGCCCAGACCACAAGAGGAGCTTTGAGAAGACCTTGGGACTGCTGTGGAAAGCAGGTCAGTAAAGACTCCAGTTCTGCATCATGGAATCTTCCAAGCCAAGCCGCTTTCCACAAACACAAATTCAGTCTATCTTTTCTTTCTGGACCAATCTAGGAGCATCAACAAAATCTTTGCCATTGTAAAGAATAATAAAAAATGTTCCAATGCTTGCAACTCCCCAGAAGAGGACATACGCCAGAGTTTCTGTCCAAGTGTCACCTGTTGATATTAAAAAGAGATCATGCATCAATTGTTGATGCTAGATCTGTTAGTTGTACAGCACAATTTCACACTAAAGTTTACGAGCATGTCCACAGGAAAAAATACAAGAACCTCTTAAGGTTTAAACCAGGGATCTCAACTCTTCAAGGCTTGATAAACCATCAGCTGTGAGACCCTAAGAACCTGTTGCCTCTGTGATAAGTTCTCAGCAACACTAAGGGTACTGACCAGAGAGAAAAAACATAATTATCATTGAGATTAAATTCTTTAACACAAGAAACTAATAATCATAGTTCTATGACCAAAATACCTATAAAATACGTTACAGAATGAGTATTTTAGTTAAAGTTACATGTTTATGTTTAACTATATAAATCGTAACATATTTTAACAGCATTTAACACAACTCTGCTGGGTGAGTTTATGAAGGTTAGCAACATCCACGGAGCAAAGACCTATTGTTTTTCTCTTTGAAGAGCTGATACTTCTCTGTACCTGCTGGCCTCAACTATAGAGAAACACATGCAGAGTCAAATGGCCAGTAAGATTGCTCAAGGGAGGGAAGCCACTTCTGGACTTCCTACCACATCAGAGGTTGTAGTGCACTGATGTTCCTTCTAGGAAAGCACAGCAAGAGCTCGTGTCAGCTCCCCTGCCCCATGCACCACCTCACAAGGTACTATCCACAGCATTCAATATCTTTTTATTCAAAAATATTCCTAAATTTTGACATCATTTTTCATAGCCGAGTCTTAAAAGCTGTGCAGAAGGCAAGTTAGTATTTCTTTGGGAATTTGATTTCTATTGCTGTGATAAATATCATAATCAAGCTGTGATAAATATCATAATCAAAAGAACCTGGAAAGGAAAGGCTTTATTTGGCCTACACTTTACAGTCCATCACTGAAGGAAGTCCTAGAGGCAGGAATTGAAACAGAGACCATGGAGGGATGCTTCTTATTAGACTACTCTCCATGGCTTGCTCAGCTTGCATTAATAATATATAAAAAAAACCCAGGACCACTCGCCCAGGGATGGCATGCCTACAGTGTGCTAGGCCATCCCACATCAATCATTAATCCAGAAAATGCCCCACGGACTTCCCTACAGGCCAATGTGGTGGAGAAATTTTCTCAAGTGATGTTCGCTCTTCCTAGGTGACTCTAGCTTGTACCAAGTTGGAAAAAAATAAAATGAAACAGAACAAAAAAAACTAACCAGGACAGGCCTGAACCAGAAGCTCAAGTGCTCTAAGCAAGCATTGTGCCCCTGTGCTTCTTCCCAGGCCAAGAACAGAGCTTCCTACAAGCTGCTGGACACTTCCCAGAAGAATCCTCCACTTCACTCAGGCCAAGATCTTGGGATTAACTTTTCTTTCTTAAAAGAATATTATCAAGAGGTAGCTGATCTCGAGAAGGCAGAACAACCTTAGTTTTTATTTTTGCCTAATTATGTTCTCTATAATTATTATATGATGGTTTGGTAACAAGAAAAAATTATAAAAACCTTAAGTTAAAAAACAGGGCCAGTCAAATAGCTTAGTAGGTAAAGGTACTTGTTTTGCAAGCCTAGCAACCTGAGTTTGATCCCTGGATGTCAAAGTAGAAAGAGAATTCCACAAAGTTGTTCCCTGACTTCTACATGTGCACCCCTCATGTGATAACAGTAATTAAAGCAGAAGGGGATCAGGGGAGATAAGGGAGAAAGAGAATCGCTAAGATATTTTGAGAATGCCATAATGATATCAAATAGCTTGTATACTAATTTAAAATAAAAGGAGATTTTAAAGAATCACCACTACCATAACAACAGAAAACTACTAGGAACTGAGATGTGTCCTAGTGGTGGAGTGCTGCCCCGCACTGCACACACACAAATAAAACCCAATTATCAAACACTCATTAAACTTAACAAGTACTGAGTGGACTCAACACCCAAGATGAACAACCAAGTTCAACATTCTAAAAGATAAACATAAGAAGGCAAATTTACAGCACACACCTTTAATCCCAACACTCAGGAGGCAGCGGTAGGCAGATCTTTTTTGTTTAAGGTCAGCTTGGTCTACAGAGCAAATTTCAGGCCATCAAGAGCTAAACAGTAAGACACATCTCAAAAGTGATATAAAGAATATGAAACAAGAGCACACTTACCAGCCATAAGCAAACAGATAATACACATTGAAAAGGCAACAACCATGATGATGGGCAACTGAAAAATACAAGTGAAAGACACAGCTTTTTAGGAATAATTAGAGGCTATAAAATCATCCATGTCCACCTAGACTGGAAAAGAAAAAACTTCTGCAAGCTTATATACATGAGATTTAATCAAACACCGCTATTTATGGGGTCAAGCACAGCGACCTAAATCTTTATACTGGTAAAGTTATGAGATCTAAGGAAGCATGGTTCTGCTCCAAATCCGGGAAACTATCTTTCAGGACAACAGACCTCCTCCCTTCCATCCAGGGAATTTTTTCATCTGGCATAAGACCCCAGAAAAGCTGTGAAGTCTTTTTTTTTCTCAAAGGAGAAAAGAAAAGCAAATATCCCAAACACACTTTGCCTCTTTCATTTACAAATTTATCTCTAGCAATTCCCTGGTCATAAGAAGACTGAAGTTCAGAAGGTTGGATAGGGGAGCAGGGAAGCACACATCTTAATTAAGGGAGCCATCTTAGGGTCGGCAAGAGATTTGGTGCTAGAGGGGCTCCCAGGTGCCCAGGGCGATGTCCCCAGTTAGTTCCTGGGGCAGCTGAGGACAGAGAACCTGAAATGACCCTATCCTATAGTCATACTGATGAATATCTTGCATATCACCATAGAACCTTCATCTGGAGATGGATGGAGATAGAGACAGAGACCCACACTGGAGCACCGGACTGAGCTCCCAATGTCCCAAGGAGGAGCAGAAGGAGGGAGAATATGAGCAAAGAAGTCAGGACCACGAGGGGTGCACCCACCCACGGAGACAGTGGGGCTGATCTATTGTGAGCTCACCAAGGCCAG